ATGACATCCATGGGAAGGGAAGGGATGGCCTATTCTATGCCGGGATCACACTGGAAAGCATTAGCCGCGTGTGTTTTAGTGGCGGTTTGTAACATTGTAAACAGAGTCTACATTGTTACACCGTCATCACCATTAATTAATTACCCACAGTAATGTTATATGCCACCACTGAAACACTAAAGAAATTAAAGGTAAGGTGAACTAAGCTTAAAACATTTTTTTTTATACAACTTAGAATGGCAAACAAGCTAATGGCCCACCTGATGGAAAGTGGTAACCGTCGCCTATAGACATGAGCAGCACCATGGACATGACAGAGTATACTATTTCGCCCATGATACCCCCCATGCGTTGCCATTCCTGAGGACTCAGATGTTATTCCTCTGTACCCAGTAAATTCACGCCATATCCCACCCTTCAAACCGAAACACAGCCGTGCAGACGCAACTGATTTACGGTTGAAACACGAATGGGACAGAGGTGGCCAAGCAAACGACTTTTGTACAGTCTCCCTCTGTTATTAAAGTAGGAATGGATAATATAAGGCAAAATTTATGTATTATTAACTAAATGGGATAAATAAAGGACTAGGTGTCATGTCGGTTCTATTCCAGGCCATATCTTTATGATAATGATATGGCCAAAGATATGGCCTGTAATAGAACTAGCTGGAGAAGAATACATGAATTAATTACCCCGATAAGAGGAAACTTTTAAATAAGAATAGAGAGATGTATTGTTATTACAGTATCTGTATATTGGTCCAAGAATTGATATATTAAATAACGGTGATCCAATATGTAACATCTCATAATATCAGAACTCAATAGAAATGAATATCTCTTGCCTCGTTCAAGAGGCTGGTAAAATCTCATTACCTATCTCTCTAATTTGCTTTGACGTTTACTATGTGTGATTTATCTCGATCTATTTAGTATATTTATGTTTATGTATTATTATTTATATTATATATGTATGTTTATGTATTGTAATCTTATTTTTATATTTAGAATATTTTGCAATTTTGTTTGATTCCTTTTATGTATTTACTGTGTCTGACTTGCGCCATCTACCTTTCTTTGTATACGTATCCATTCTTTATGCCAGGTTGTCTGTAAGAGATTGCTTTTAGCGATAAGGCCGCCTTTTATATATGCACATTCTGTATAAATACTCCTTGTATACATCTCTACTGTGCGCAATAAAGAGTTTATTATTAATATAGATATCTGATTGGTACGGGTGATATTGAAATGGGTGATGAACTTTTTATCTGCCATCAGGGCCCAGAAGGACCCAATATATAGATATCAAAACGGTACAGTTGTTACCCATGTCTACATGAAAGTATTTGAATATTTTCGAAAAAATATTGTAGAGACATTTTAGTGTTACAACATTTTTAATTTTACTTTTTTATTCTATCTGATATTAAAAAAAAAAATAACGGTAATAAATTTTGTCAACTAAATTTTATCAAGGCCAACGCATATTTTGTATATTTCTAGGGATCATGTTGCACTGCAGGGAGTCAGCGGATGCAGGTGGCTTAAAACCGTTCTTTATGGCAGTCTGATATGATGATGATATTGATTATGATTGCCTGTTTCCTCAACAAAATGCGTGTAAACAATTAATTGTGTGTTTTGACTTATAACTTAGATTAATTGTAGCAACTTACACTCGATTAGTGACTAGCAACACCTACACGACACACCTACACGAGTGCATTGTTTTAGTTTTAAACCCGTGTAAACAGGTCTTTATCCGGTCATGTTTTTTTTTTTATACTTTTTTTTATTACTTTTCATACTCCAATATATTGGAAATTATATGTAGAAGACTTCCGTTACTTTATTATTACTATTACGCCGAAGCAAGTTACGTAAACTTAAATATAATAGCCTAATGCTTTCTCTTTTAAGTATTAATTGGTTATAGTTGTTTTATTTAATATTCAACTATTTTCTTTATTTTGTAACTACTAGTTGTTTAAAACAAAAAAGCTTTAATTGAATTTTTCCACGGAGTCATAGTGATTAATTTTATGATCGTGTTAAAGGCTCTTTATAGTGTATATTTGGTGGCAAATTGTTTATGGGCAAATTAAAAATATAATTAACTTTTGTCCTTATATGAATTACACTCAGCTTACTGGTATATTTTTTAAGCGTGGAGATATATAAGTTTCTTTTTTTTATATCAACTAACTATAATAAAAAAAAAAAACATGACAGACTTAAAGAGATAAGTTTACTGAGATGAGTTTTTAAATATATGCCACATTTAAAACTGTTAATTAAGTTAAAGTATTTTTAATTTCTAATATTGAAGTCTATGATGAGGTTTCTGTCTTTATTATTGTTTTTTGTTTTTCATTGTTGAAGCCCTGTAGTTGTTGATTTTCTCTCTTTTTCAATTAAATAAAAGATATGGTAATTATATTTTTGGGGTCCCGGATGTTTCTGAATCTAGTCGAATATTTTCGACACTAAGGTTCCGATTCGGAAAAGTGAAATCAATTATAACTATGGCGAAACCAGTTGATCGATTAAATCTGGTTTTAAAACGAAACTACAGAAACGATTTTGATTAATTTCCTATAAGATCAATCCGTAAGTATCTTTTTAATAAAGAAATAATAATCCAAATCGGTTTACTACTGACGGAGTTATTTGGTAACAAACGTGAAAAAAGACAACCTTTTTATTTTCAAAATCGCTTCAAAATAGACGTAAGTCCATTTAAATTTCGAACAAATAAAAAGCACTTGATCAGTTATAAAATATTCAAAGAGCCATCCGTATCGCCGTTCTAAGATATAATCTCTTTAACATTACTCTATGTATCCATCGTGGATTAAATAAACAAACGCATTTAAATCTACGTCCGGACACAGAATAATAGTGATTAGGTAACGTACTGTCTACATCCAGAGAGGCGATAACATCGCAACCGTCAGAGTCAAGGGCGCGACAATGGCAAGAGGCACTCTCCGGAGAGAGCGATGGGAGCACAATATATAAGGCACAATACGCCTTCCGCTTTTTCGCCTCCATTCATGGCCCGTGTGAAGTGATTTCTCAACGAAGAAAGTAAAAGTGGGTCATACAAACGGCGAGATGCGATACTACAGCGGCGGCGGGCTGCGATGCGGCCGCAACGTTTTGCTTTAATGCAATTTGGGATGTCGTCATTAGTTACTGGAGTAACATTTTGCATAGTAATACACCGGTAATAATATTACCGCTTGTATTATATTATAGTTAGTAATGACATAACTCGAGTGCGCGCATACCGCGCGTGCATGTGAGATATTAGAAGTGGCAAATTAAAACGAAAACAAATTAAAAGAGACCGATTTCTACTAATCAGTTAATTTTGTTAGTAATTATTATAATTTAATTTAATAGCTGGAAATCGTTGCATTTTCGATTTGTACAGGCTATATAGCCTTGATTTATTCGTGATTAATGTTTTTTTTTAGTTTAAATATAAGTGTGTTATTGTGTGTGTTTTTTTTATGTGTAATAATAGCAATACGTCCAGGTTTCAAACGAGTAGATACAAAATAATATACAGCCTTTGTGATTCACTGATGATGTACATTATAAAAATATTTATTTATTTCATTCTATAGACTCAGGATGGTTGCATAGATGCATTATCCAGATTCGTCAATATAAGGGTAGTGTCGTGTGGATATTATACTGGTAACCGCAACGATTGTTCTATTTATTTATCTTTTTTATATTTTAAATACACTATTGGGACTCAACACGATGAAAAACCTTTACAGGTAAATAGTACTTACATACCTGAGGATCTACCATGAAATATTTTCTGAAATTTCGGAGCTGAACGAAATACAAATTATACGTTAAAATTACATAATACATACCGTTTAAAAATGTTAAAATATCGTTCTTTTGGACCATTATGGTAGGATTTGCGATGTTAAGCTCCATTTACTGGGCCGATTTCGTTACGAAAAAAAAACACGAAATTGAGTCCAAAAATTCGGAATTACATTTCATGGTAGATCCCATGCTTCTTAATTGCCGACGTTTCGACGTGGATTGTACCACCATGTACACTATCGGTCAAAAGTATTTAAGCCACCCAATAAAATAGACTTTATAAATGTCTGATTGAGTGAAACTACTTCATAATTATTTTAACATGTTTATTAGCCATTACTAGACATAATAAGAATATAATTTTTAAATTTTAGACTCATCTATGTATCCACTTTTATTTTTAATGACCGTCTCACAAAGCTTCGGCAAACTAGCTACTAATTTTTCCAATGTTGTCTTGGTTATCCTTTGCCATTTTTCTTGCAGTTTTTTCCATAAGTCTTCCTGAGATGGGACAACTTTCTCACACCTGTCTATTCAGCTAATCCCACAATAGTTCATGGAGTTTAAGTCAGAGGACTGTGGAAGCCATAATTCCGACAATTACACTATTATGGTTTTATGTCCGGCAGTCGGCAAAACAACAATAAGTTGTTAACGTTTGTACGGTAGATAAGTATTTTGCAGTGTTATCTAATTAATGATCTCTTTAAAATGTATTGTTTGTAACTTAAACAAAATATAGGTGGCCAAATACTTCTGAGCAAGTAATATACGTGTAAACAACGCGAATGTTTAAAAATTAACCATTCTTTATTTCTATCTATCTATCTATTTAAGAGCTGCGCTCTTGTCGGTGGAGCTCCTGCCACTCACTACGATTTTCAGCGAGTCTCTTCACCTCTTGATACGACACGACACCAACTCCTTCCTTGATCTGCCTGATGTAACTATGTCTCGGTCTCCCTCTCCCCCTTCTTCCTTCTATATTACCTTCTATTATAATGTTCATAAGTTCGTCGTGTCGTATCAAGTGTCCCAACATTTTTCCCCTTCTGTCCTCAATAGTTCTAATAATTTGTCTTTTTTCCTTAACCCTAAGCAGGATTTCTTTATTTTTAATAAAATTAAATTACTTACCACAAAACGGTATGCCGTCCGGCGACCATCGTCCTTTAGTATTGCACACCCTTCTGGCCGGCCCGAGGAGCTCGAAGCCTCGCTCGCAGGTATAGGTGGCGACGGTGCCCTCCACCATACCCTCGTCAGAGAATGTGACGTGGGAGTGGGCCGGCGCGCCCGGGAAACGGCATGATGCTGCTGCATACCCTGCTAAAGAATGTTGTGATGAATTAAAAAAAAAGTTGTAATAAGTAATAAAAAGTACACTAAATAACCTACAAAAAAAAATCTAAATTAATTCTTTTAAAACTAGTTACTTTGATTTAAAAACTAAAGTATTAAACCGATTTTGATAATGTATATCTGTGGAACATCTATAAGTACCTCTGTCCCATTCGTGTTTCTACCGTGAAGCAGTTGTGTTTGCATGGCTGTGTTTCGGTTCGAAGGGTGGGATATGGCGTGAATTTACTGGGTACAGAGGAATAACACCTGAGTACTCAGGAATGGCAACGCATGGGCGGGTATCATGTGCGAAACAGTATACTCTGTTATGTCCAAGGTACTGTTCATGTCTATAGGCGACGGTTACCACTTTTCATCAGGTGGGCCGTCAGCTTGTTTACCATTCTAAATTGTATAAAAAAAAGTATGCCTTTTTAGATAAGAAAAAGTATTTACTAAGTCGGTTTTCAAATGACGGATTTATGAGGTAAAAAACATAAAAAAATACAATCAAATTGAGAATCTCCTTCTTTTAAAAGTCGGCTGAAAAAGGTACTAAGTACCCGTAACATGTTAATAAAAAAGAAGACTTAGCTTCGTAAAAATAAGATTCAAAAATACTCCGCATTACTAACAATCCTTCGCCCACAGCAATGTGGACTACCAGAGGGCCTACCATGAAATGTTTTCCGAAATTTCGGAGCCGAACGAAATACAAATTTGATGTTAAAATTTCATAATGCTTACCGTTTAAAAACATTAATATGAAAATATTATTCTTTTGGAATTCTATGGTAGGATTTATGACGAACAAAAGTTAAACTCTATTTACTGGGCCGTATATTAGTTATGAACGAAAACACTAAATTGAGTCCGAAACTTTGGATTTCATTTTATGATAGGCCTTCAGTTCCATTGCTAGCAATATACCTTGCCAGGTCGACCTCCAAGTAACCCCCCTTGGAAACTGTCGTGCTGAATTCCAAGTGTATAACATAACTGGCCTGTTTTCATTCTCACCTATCACCCATCACTGGTGCTCCGCCAGCGTATCCCGTTAGCGCAGGCGGGGTTACCATACCATTTTCACCCATCAAAAAAAAGCCATGACACCTACTTGTACACTGACAATAACAATCAATACGTCAGTGTCATCTACTCAATCAATTACATTGCGTGTCTTCATGACAGAGCACTTCCTACTTTCTTTGTTTGGCACATTGTCATTAAATCTAAGAGAACATCATAAAAGACGCTATAAAATTATTGATTTGATCACTATTGTTACATGTTGGTATGACTGAGTTCACGAGCCCTCACGGCAAGCGAATGCCGATTCTTGTTTTGCGTTTGGTAACACTGGCAGTGTTGGTAGCAGCGCTGACTATGCACATGCGTTCTGTACGCGTGTTCCGGTGGGAACAGTCCGTGTCCGGCGGGATACTAGTCACGTATTGCGTCGTATCGCTCGGTCTCACGCTGTGTGCTGGCACGGAGAACTGTGGCGGTCAGGCTTTGCAAGTATGTCGGTCCATGTTATTCACTGATTATGTAGCTGGGGGAAGGGATTGTTAGTAATGGGGAGGTTAGTGCCCATTGCTATCAATATACCTTATACCGACCTCTACGCGATTCCCTCTAGAAACCATCGTGACTAATTTATCGTTGAATTCGTCACGACGGGCTAACTGACCTGCGTTTCATCCTCACCAATCATCCCTCACTGGTGCCTTGCCAGCGCATAACGATAACGCCGGCGGGGTTGCCATTATATATATATATATATATATATATATATATATATATATATATATATATATATATATATATATATATATATATATATATATATATATATATATATATATATATATATATATATATATATATATATATATATATATATAATGAAATGGCAACCCCGTAAATATATATATATATATACACGCACAACGGCCCAAATAAGAGCTAAGTGCGAAAAAGAGAGTCCAATTTACATTATATATATTATTGTTACCTCATAACTCTGTCAGTTTTATAGAAAATTTATCAAAGGCAAAATAACTGATTTTGTCCCAATTGAAGGCGATTTTTCTATGGAACGTTCATTTTTTAAAATCACCATTCAAAAAGCCCCTTGCTGAATTTCACAGGCATTTCTGTGCGGCGCAGGCGCAGCGATTTTCGCTGTCAACGCAACTGTAATATGGCGGCGCTGGCGTCGCGCCAGCGAGCTGACGCGGGTAGTGGCCGAGCTCCTCTTCGCTATGGGGGTACCATTAAAAAGACATGTTCGGATCAAGGTCTTTTTGAGTGGCATAGCCGCTGCTGCGTTACTACTGGATCTAGCGTTAGCACCATTACTCGGTCAAGCACTTGCCACAGTAAACACTTAAACCACTATTTGATAATACTTGTATTATTAATGTCACGGTTCTTTTAGACTTCTTGAGGTGTACTTGAAAAATTAGAGAATGTAATGACAAAGCTTTTTAGAGACTCTTTGAGTAAATATAAAATTAGGCATGTATATACCTTTCCATCCGTTTGTAACGTGTTCTGTATATTTTTTTTTGACTGACGGCCCTCCTTATTGAAAATGGTAACCGTCGCCTATAGACATGAGCAGAACCATGAACATAACAGAGTATACTGCTTCACCCATAATACCCCCCATGCGTTGTCATTCCTGAGGACTCAGGTTTTATTCCCCTGTACCCTGTAAATTCGCGCCATATCTCACCCTTCAAACCGAAACACAGCAATGCAAACACAACTGCTTCACGGTTGAAACACAAATGAAACAGAGGTACCCAAGCAATCAACTTTTACCATTTTTCATCAGTTGGGCCGTCAGCTTGTTTGCCATTCTAAGTTTTATAAGAAAAAAGGAATGTTACAGGGATATTGCATATGCATTGCTTAGGTAACCACTACCTTTTAAGTTATTCATAGAGTGAAGTCGATCATTCCAAATAGTACTCTCGAATGTTTCACTTAATATTATATAGACCGTTTTGCTGTTACCTAATTGCGATTACCAACTCGCCTACCGAACATGGCAACTGCTGGCAAAACTCCTCTGATGCAGAAGGCATATGTTTCGTAATGTATATAGTTAACGGTCGACGTTAATACTTGTAGACATTTCCCGCGTTTCCACGTGATAATAACAGCTAATCCTACCGCCCACTATAATTCGATGCCCTGGTTTAATTTTATTACTTAGAATTTTTATAATTATAAAAAAAAAGTTGCCACAAGTTTGCCGCCCTTAAAATCTGTCGCTCTTGGTTCTAGTCCACTCGACGTGCTGGCAAATTCACTATTGGGTATTTAGCAAATACGATTACTAATCTCGGGCATTATTTTTGTTTCGAGTATTCAGAAGAGGCGATGTCTATAGAAAGCATTTTATACAATACCTCCTTTTATATTTCGATATTCTCGGAGACTCGTATTAGAAAACACAGTTGGAAGAGTTCACCGAAATTGGACAACGGTTACACTTGCTGAAAATTCTATTTCTATGTCTAAGTGTATTGTATGCAGATTAAGGGCACAGTAAACAGACAGAGAGCTACAATTATGAAAGTCGTGATCGTAGTGGTCGCGTAACAAATTTTGTAACACGTCATCGGGTACTGTTCCGGCGTGAAAGATCCCAAATTGATAACGATCTGCGGCTGACTCGTCATGGAGAAAGCGAATGATACAATTCGCTACAAACTGTATCGGATAATCGGCGTTCACTGCTAGGTCGTTTTAATTGGAAAAAAAAACACAATATCACTACAATTTATGCATGGCCGTAGCTGGGAGGGGGGCGCTTTGAGGGGCAATGCCCTTAAAAGGCCCAATGCCCTATCTTAAAATGAAAGGCCTCGAAAAAATTAGACAGATTTGCTTTTGGGAAGTCGTTTAATTATGGCTTACGCCCTACCAAAAAGTTTTTTGCCCTTCCTTTAACATGGGTCTAGGTACGGCCCTGAATTTATGGTATTCCGTAAACTATGTAACATCTTGTCGTCTAACGTAACACAAAGTCTAAGAACAAAGATCTGATGTCGCAAGGAACTGAAACGTGGACGCTCCAAGCCGCTCAGTGAGCTATAGAGACAACTATGCTTAGAATTTCACTGCGTGATAGAAGCTGGAAAGCAAATATCCACAAAAGAACTAAAGTGATCGATATAATCCGAAGAATCTATAAGCTGAAATAACAATTGGTTGATCACGTAGCTCGAGGAACTGATAACCGTTGAACTCATTTTATATTTATTTATAACGTGAGAAAGGATAATTACGCAGGAATGTGTACGGCTCATGTAGTTGAGGGATGTGGGATCGAATCCTGTCAGACAGAACTGTCGGGAGTTACGTGTTTCAACCCATAATTACATTTGACGATCGAATAATCACGTTCATCTGACTTACTCTATGAAAATTACACCTGTGAAGTTATTTATACGCTGCGCTACGATACTCTGTATGCTTGGCAACTATTTATTTTATTGCACCAAGATAATAAGCTGTCACCCCTTATTTTCTTTCTAAAACCAAGATAGTCTCGAGATGAAACTTTCAAAGTGCATCGCGCGTAAACTTGTCAGCAGCAATACGTTTTGTCGTAAACAGTGCACCGTATTAATAGAAATGGACGCTTATTTTCTGCACAATAAAGTCGAGAATATTATGAAATTAATAGTTGACGTCGGTAAATATTAATTTTGTAAGTAATATTCCCGCGAAACGAGAGGATTGCGGTTTGTGCATCAATTGCATCTTGCTAGCACGATTCTGGACTTTATGCTATGAGGCGTAAGATTGCAAAGAGGCAGCTATGCATTACGTTTTGATGGTTGAGGTCACCACGCTTTCGTGGATAAGGTAATAGTACCATCTTCAAACGCTACTGCAACAATATAGTTGCAGCGATTAGATTATTTTCCGCGTCAAGGTATTTTATGTAATGTAAGATCGATGTATCAGTTTCATTCCTGGCAAATGTTTTTATACACTGTTATCATTGTAAAGATCGCCATTTACCATTAAACTAATGGCTGTAATTATGGACACTAACAGCAGGGTGCTAGCAGGTACACTTTCACTTCCTATTGGTAAAGAAAATAGATACGTAGGAAAGATATTTTTTATTAAGGTTTACATAGAAACTCAAGGCCTCTAGGTTTATCCATCACGTTATCTATATTTCACTAGTTAATAGTATACTGCGTATACGCAGATGCACCTTCCTAAAAGTAAGTCTGGCGGTGTTCATAGTCATAATAATGTAAGCTAGTGCCTCAAAGTAAAAACCTTAAATGTATGTAATCCTTACATAGAAGACATGTGCGTTTCAATTAATTATATAAAATTAATTTAATATCCCCCTTTTGAATTTTTACCAGAGGGAGACTTTGTACAAAAGTCGATTGCATGAGTACCTCTGTCCCATTCGTGTTTCTACCGTGAAGCAGTTGAGTTTGTATGACTGTGTTTCAGTTTGAAGGGTGGGATATGGCAGTGAATCCGAGAGCTGATAGCTACTTTACCCAAAAGATAAATTTGGCAATACAAAGAGGTAACGTTGCTAGTATTTTGGGTACGCTGCCCCGGTGTGGTGCGTTGGGGGATTTCTTATAATTAGTATTATGAAATGAAATGAAATTTATTTGCTAGAAACATTGTAGAAAAGGTGTTGCATTTGTGAAGTTTATAAGATGTCCATTATGTTTCGCCACATGGCATGCAATTTAATTATTAGTATTTAAAATATGTATATTAACTTTAATTTATTGACCAATATATAGATATTATATTATAACTACAATACATAGATTTTACCATATATTATCCACCGCTGTAATCTAGCTTAATACCACAATAGCTTATGTATAAGCCCTAATGGTCGAGGGATGAGCAGTAGCGTCCCTCTTTAAACATCGCCAATAGTGGTTGTTGGTAACAGAACTTCTTTCATACAAGTTTACCTTTTTTAGATTTATATTTTTATATTATAAATATGTCTTTTGATACTTTTTTTGTTTTTCTTCTTGTGTGACATATTATTGTTATATTGTAATTGTCTTGTCTAAGAAAATATATTGGTAAGCCTCTTTTAATTTTGAATTTACTGGGTACAGAGGAATAACACCTGAGTCCTCAGGAATGGCAACGCATGGGGGGTATCATAGACGAAACAGTATACTCTGTTATGTCTATAGTACTGCTCATGTCTATAGGCGACGGTTACCACTTTCCATCAGGTGGGCCGTCAGCTTGTTTGCCATTCTATGTTGTATAAAAAAAAAAATTATTGTCGCTGCCCTCCTCTCCTACCAGCGCCGTTTTTAGTGGTTGCCTATTCAAATTAAAGCAATTTTTATAGAATAGAATAGAATAGAATAGAATTTTATTGCTAACTGTGTACATACATATAGCAGTAACTATTGCTTTGAATTTGACATCAGTATCAACAGTTATACCCTATCAGGCATGCAACAATTTAAAAAAAAAGATTTATAAAAAAAGATGTAACAAAAATTTTATCAAAATCGCTCCAGTCAGTAGTTTAGCTTTTAAAACAGAATAACAGGTTTTGCGTGAATTGAAGCCGATATATTTTTGTGGAACACATTTTTAATTATGTATTTAACCGTAGTCGGACTTTCTGCCCTCGGGCTAGGGTTCACATGGGTATAGGATGGAAGTCGACCAGTGGGTCGACTCGGCTGACAGACACGCGGCGGTTCACACGCCTTTATCATTAATATTGCTTTGTAATAAGAATGACATGCAATCATTTGTATATATGTATTGTGACGGTTCGCCTATAGTACAATAGGTTTAATACCATAAGTACATAGAAAAGAAACAGGGGTTCCTATGGGTGACCGCTGCGAAAGCTGAGCTATTTAATATAAACAAACTTTAAAGTCAAGGTTCACAATAGCGTACAGAGAAGACGTTACCATATATGAAATACTGACACAGAAGGGAAACTCCTTTGATGTGTTTCCAAAGTGTAGTAGATGTCACAAGAAAATTAAATAAATTAAACAAAAATATATTATATTTTATATATAACCAAATTATAGTTTACCTTTTATCATCAGGTGTAAAAAGGATGCATACAACACAGTTTAATAAGGTTTATGAGAGCCTTTAAAGTTTTATAAATTCGATAATAAAATTAATAGAAAATACCAAAATACGTTAACATATAATTAAATTGAATTTGAAGAAAAGTTCAGTTCGAATAATAGGCTAAATCTGATTATTGAAATATCTACCCTTCGGTGACATAATCTATGACGTTATTAGAGAAAGAATAGAAAAAAAAAAGAAAAAAGAAGGGACGGCAGATCGGCGGGCGCGCGGGAGTGGCTTTTTAGGAATTGCGCAATAAAAAAAAAAAAAAAAAAAATGGCGGGGAGTCGTGTTTG